CAGTTGACCTGTGGCAATGAAGAATGCAAGTCATTCGGTGAACTGAAAGAATCGGATGTGTCCAGGACTACCCTTCCGAAGCTCTCGAACCACATGACGAACTATGAATTCCAGAGGAACTCAGCTGGCAGGTGCACAAGAGCTGGGATGGAGAGCCCTGTTTGGTGGAGATCTCCTTCCACTGGCGCTGGAAAGGCCAGCCCAAGGCTGGCAGCCAATGCTATTCAATCACTGTGGAAGCAATGATTGAACAGTCTAATTGCTCAATACCCTGGCACTGGCCATACAGGATCCTGTCTACTGCAGGGCTCTACTTGTGCTGTTGGGTCTGTTTCTCAGGTCAACTACTTCTTCATTACTTCTTTAAACTATAACATGAACACAAACTCTGATTTTGCGTGAAACTCCATCCAGCCATGCAGGATACAGATCCATGCATCTCTTTTGGCTGGTATTGACCAAGCTATCTTTCTAGATAGTTCATGGCTGAGGAACTGCATCATCCTTCCTTGCAGAGGAACTCTATATCCTCTACAGCTGTTCCTATCTTGTCTGATGGTGACACAGCTCATTGTACTGAAAGACTGTACAGATGCAACAGCGATCTTTCCATCAGACTGAGCCAGCACAGCTGCGCCGCACCCATACTATGGCTCCTATGGCATAATCTCATCGCTCCCCACCATTGGAGTCATGGATGGGGTGCCAACAAGCTTGCACATCATGTGGCTTCCCTCGATACTTCCATGAACTGGGAGCATCTGACTGCTCAGTGTGGACTTTGGTGGTTGCTTACCTCCGGGGTTACCAACCCTCTTGAATACATCAAGGTGTCCATTGCTGAGTACCACTTGACACATTGGGAGGGGCATCACATGGGCTTGTGATCGAACCTCCAGTCGTGTTCAGGAGAGAAAGGGTGCATTGGCATTGGTCCATTTGACCGTCAATTGGGATCTCATCTGGTCTCCCCATACTTGCATCACAGCTCATTGGCTTAGGAGGTATCTGTCTATCTCCCCATAAGGGCCAGTGAGAACAATCTGGGCCATAACTGTTCATCTGGAGCCCTCAACTGGGTAGTTAGGTGACGGGTTGTCATCCTATGAGGTGGGACTGGTTGTCCTATCATCAGATATTGCCTCAGCTAAAGGCAACACCTCGTAGACGTCTCCTCAAGTTTACCATCTCCTTACATGGGTTCAAAAGAATCCCGTCCAGAGACACGACTAACTTGGTGCTTGCTTGGGTATGACCGGTGCAGGTCCTGTCACATGACATGGCAGTGGCTCATCCCACAGCCATCAGCTTGGGTGGGTGTTGCTCTAGCCCGACTGCTTCACCTTTGCTGAGGGTGACACAGTGTAAGTTCTCCCCATCACCCGAAAGTGAAGGGAGTGCCATCAGGGCGGGAGGGTGGGAGTCACCAAAACATGTTTTCACAAAACATTGTACTTGGAATACTATCCTGGAGATGACAAGTTTAGCACAAACACTTGTCATACTGGGCCATGTCCTGCGGAAGGTAGCCCCTATGAGGGTGGCATGCTACCCCGCAGCCATGGCCGGTGCCTGGGTACCTTGGGCTCAACCAGTGCGACACAAACACTAGTTGCCCAGGCAAAAATCCGTCTTGGACTTGCCCTTGAGGGCTGCAGTCACCACATTGCCATCTGGAGGATCTAAGGCGTCCCCGACTGCTGGGTCAGCTTCGCTCTTCGGATCCACCAGGTCTGACATCTGGGTTCGACGGTGGGCTTCCATCAGGACTCTCTTGTCAGCGACAGAGAGCCTGTACCAAATCTGGCGTCCATTGTTGGATAGCTGAGACCAGACGTAGTCAGGAAGGCGTGGAACTTTACACTGCTGCTCCCCATCACCCTGATGTCTCGTTTTGCCAATGTCGGCTATGTTGGCTAGACGTGAGTCATCATCTCTTCGGTTGATGTCAAAGAATGTGGCGGCATTCAGTAGCACCTCCTTGTACCCGTCGTATGTAAACGATGCATGATGTCCCTCGCGACATACTCTCTCATGTTCACGTGCAGAAATGTCGTTCAAGGTGGGGACACCGGTGAAGGCCCGCTGTAAGAACAGCTTCTGTATACCATCGGTGAGCCTATCACTGGAGTCTCCTTGGCCATCATTGTATCGGGTAACAACTGTGTCAAACTTGACAATGAAGTCCACTGCGGAACCTTGCTCCTCTGGGCTGTATTGCACACTAGTCAGCCATGTGAGTGTCTCCACATGATCCAGAGAACCTGCTACTGACAAGTGAGCGTCCTGGACAAGCTCAACGAGAATGGCAAAGCAGTCAGAGTCATGAAAGTGGGACTTCACGATCACCTTTCCATTGGTGGTCTGCACTGTCTTCTGGAAAACAGCGTAGAACCAATGATTCATTCATATCAGTTCATCCATGGACTCGGTGCTGCTTGGGACGTAGTCGGCATCAAAGATCTTATGAAACCCTTGACCTCTAGCTACAGTGATAAAGGACTCATACCACTGGTCGAAGTCCTTGTTGGATTTGAGGGTAGGGTAGGCCGTGGCATCTGGCTTGGCACGAAAGGGCTTGCCTGGAGGGCCTGTGTTGCCACCTCCTCCACCTCCTCTGGGACTTGGAAGGTCACCATTGCCATCAGGGGTGGGAATGAAGGCTGACTTCCTTCTTGGCTTCTCCGGTTGATCAGTAGGTTGGCTGACTAGAATAATGGGAATGTCTGGGTGTACTGGTGTCTGGGATGATGTGCTTAATAGGATGGGCTGAGGCTGCTGAGGACACATGGTGTAGGACTGAAGCACAGTTGTGTAGTTGGGTATCTCACAGAATGGGGTGTTGGTGGGATGCCGTGATGTGATGGTATGATTGGTGTTGGTTGGGGATATACCTCCCCATTGAGGGCCCATACTTGGTGATGGTATCCACCTCCAGCAGGGGAAGTGGCAACATCCATGACAACTTTGGGTTGGGATGGATGACCAAAAGGGTCCTCAACATCACCCAACAAACTCTGTTCCAAACTACTTGGTTCTGAATCGGTCCTCCTAGCCTTGATCTCAGGGCTAGGCTTGTGTGATAAACCAGGTGTGCAGGGAATGGAGTCGTGTGGATGGAAGGAACCAAGCTGATTGGTATTGTGGCCTTGTGGTGGGGCCAAGGGAGCTTGGTTTATTTGGTTCATTTTCTTCAACGCTATTGCCAGTTGGTGGCTGATCATTGAAAGGGTAACACCTTGGTTGGCTGGTGGGGAAGGAGTCACAATGGGAGGCCCTGACTGGTAGGCTACAGGGGGATCCACAGGTGTCCTTCCATGGGGTGGGATTAGGACTGATTGTGGAGGCCCTGCAGTGGTGGGCCTGTTGGCGTTGCATGATGTTGGTGTAACACCAATGGCAGGCTGGGCCTGTTGCTGTTGCTTCTTCTTGCGAGCCATGATGATTGTTGGTGCGCTGGCTGAGTGTGGTGTAGAGGTGTTGCTGTAGGAAATCCAAAATGAGACTTGAAAGTGTGCACTGCTAAAGGGTGACCAAATGGGATGTCCTCTATCTGTTGGTAACCTTGGATCCTTTCGAAACAGTCAGATCGTGCTCTCGTGGTGTTGCGAGTTGCCCTTGGAGTGGTTGATCGACACCTTGAATCAACACGTATCTTATTCCGAGTTCGGAATTCCGAGGAAAATGTGGCCGCGATTGATATCCAAGCCTCGGCGCGCTTTCGGAACAGAGGTCCGGTACCGGTTCTGTGAGTACCGTGTGAGTACCGGTTCCCTTCACCGCAGTATCCTCTCCGGAGGCACGACTGAGGTATTCGGCTCCGTAAAGGAAAGTCGACAATGATGTTACCAACAGGAACAGCCGTCGCGTTGGATAACCAAGGCCGATTAACAAAAAACTGGCTGGTGTATCCTCTCAAGCACCCTCAGGTTAGTAGGTGGACCACTTGGTTTGGCCGCTACCGCTCCAGTGGTTGCGTCGAGTTGATCGGCGTGATTCTCGTCGTGATTTTTCTTGTTGGTTGATCTTCCACTCTTTCTGCTGTGTCGGCCGCTTGTATTGAGTCTATTAACCGAGGAACTGACTGGTCTATCTTGTAGAGCACCCTTGACTTGATAGATGGACCACTTGGTTCAACCCCAGTCAGTCGCGATTCGAGTTTTCGGTCGTCGATCTGTCGGCAGGTCTCGATGGCCGATTCGGCAACTCACTCGCTCTGATTTCCACACTAGTAGCCACTCTTGTGCTCGCTATTGCGACCTTGTTAATCCTATGAATTCCAGGTAGGAACTCAGCTGGTAGGTGCACAAGAGCTGGGATGGAGAGCCCTGTTTGGTGGAGATCTCCTTCCACTGGCGCTGGAAAGGCCAGCCACAAGGCTGGCAGCCAATGCTATTCAATCACTGTGGAAGCAAATGATTGAACAGTCTAATTGCTCAATACCCTGGACTGGCCATACAGGATCCGTCTACTGCAGAGCTCTACTTGTGCTGTTGGGTCTGTTTCTCAGGTCAACTACTTCTTCTTACTTCTTTAAACTATAACTGAACACAAACTCTGATTTTGCGTGAACTCCATCTCCAGCCATGCAGATACAGATCCATGCATCTCTTTTGGCTGGTATTGACCAAGCTATCTTTCTAGATAGGTCATGGCTGAGGAATGCATCATCCTTCCTTTCATCATGGCTGAGGAACTGCATCATCCTTCCTTACCGAGGAACTCTATGTCCTCTACAGCTGTTCCTATCTTGTCTGATGGTGACACAGCTCATTGTACTGAAAGACTGTACAGATGCAACAGCGATCTTTCCATCAGACTGAGCCAGCACAGCTGCGCCGCACCCATATGGCTCCTATGGCATAATCTCATCGAAACCAAAGCATCAATTGGTGTTGCCCAGGAAGCTGCTTGGGCGCAAGCCAACTTTAGCGAAAATGGAACACATTCGCGACAAATTATAGCATCTTTGTGGAAGTCGATGACCCAAGTTTGACGTTATGTTCAATCTCATCTTTGGTCCGACCAGTGAGGTTTATCGCTGCTTCAAGGAAGAGGGCATCTTTGATGCTCATGATGAATTCCTTCATTTCATTGCGACGTTCTTCCTGTCTTCATCCTATCAAGTCTCCACAAAGCATCTCTTTGACAAATTCAGTCGAATCAATTTGGTTGGAGCTCTTTCAAAAGCCAAGTACATTGAGTATTGGAAAAAGATTGGAGCAGCGTCTTTGCCCACAATCCAAGAGCAAAACCGTAGTATGACTCCAGCTGGCATGGTGCCATTTTGGTTGAAGCTCGAGGGTAGCATCAACAAGTACGGCAGGGAATACTTCATCCAGGGATTTCTGGGGGGAACTCTTCAGTTTACCCTTGACGATGACAAGGATTTCTGGGGGAAACTCTTCAGTTTACCCTTGACGATGACAAGGCCCATGCTCGGGGTCACATCTGTGCGGCACCGCTGAAGTTGATGCGTCAAAGACAACGTTCCGGGGCATACGCTTCATACATTGGTGCTCTCATATTCTCAGATGCCTGTTCAGATCTCATGGGAGAGGGAAGTTAATAACTCAACCGAAACAGCAACCGAAAGAATCTTCAGCCAAGGTATCACACCAATGGCAGCTCAAGGTGGTGGCGATCTTCGACCTATCTCTGTTGCAAAAGACCATGGCTACTGGATGAAAAAGATGCTGCATGACTACTTCATGCGGTCTGGATCAAAGATTCGAGCTGGCACTGTGAGGAGGCAACATTGCATTCCGATGACCTATGCACAGAAGCTCACCACCAATGATACGCGCACAGATATCTAGTGGTCCCCGCACGTTGCATATCATGGAAGCAACTAGCCACCAACGGAAGCTTTATTGTCAAGCCTTTGGAATGGCACTGGTGGCGTTACGCTTGGCATCTCCACTGAACACAGCAATCATCCAGAGTGGGAACTTGTGCTTGACAAACCACAAGACTTGGTGTGGTATGATGATCATCTGAAATATCCTATGGGCTTTTTTAGTAGGGTTCAATGTTTCGCTGTTGTAGTAGCATGTTTGACTTCGGATTGGATGTTTCGAATTGATGTGGGATGTTTGGCTTCGAAGAATGATCGAAAACATCTGGTTCGATGTTTGAATCGTAGGCTGATGAAACATCGCCTAACAATGTGAAACAATGTGCGCGCCGTCCCGCCACTCTTCCAACAAACTTACAACGGGGGACCCCAACAAGTTATCCAACAACAACAAGTACCCCCAATCCCTACTTCTTGAACACCCCCACAAAAGTGGATGTGGCTATTGCAAGGATCCATCCATCTACTACTAGTACTATTAGCTAGCTAGCAAGCTAGTGGCCATGCAGCTAGCAATTTTCGATCTAGTTAGCAATCAAGGTCCGACAAGTAATCAAAGCCCTTGGGAGTTGACCCCAAAACAGAACAAAAAGGTGTGCAGCTTCGCCTTTATTTCGAACTGTGTCGCCCTTCTGACATCAATCCAATCATTTATATTGATCTCATAGGCGTATTAGGTAGGATGATATGAAAGTGAGTAGGATCCATGAGTTAATAGAAAAACTGGCAGCCCCAGACAACCAGAGATCCAAAATGAGTTAGCGACAACTCCAGAATCTATTCTAGTGGTTCATCCGATAGTAGCGATAGCTTTGGCCATTCCAGCCTTGTTGGTTTGTCTACGTGAAGAAATAAATCCATCAGATGGGTCTAATGGTGCTAATAGCAGGGACAGAGATGGGCCGTCCTATTGGTGACAGTAGATTTGCCAAAAATGGCTGCCCTACTTTGATGACTGTTCTTCACTCCCATGACTGTCAAATCAACAAGCCACTACCACCACTGCGACCGGCACATCCAAATTATGCATTCCCTATCTCAATGCATATATAGCCAGGTTGACTATATTGGTTAAACTTCTGGGGGTATGCCGCACAAGTGATGCCTCTGAAAATGAGTTTCTTCAAAAATGGGAGGTTGGAGGAGGCTCGGAAACAAACTTGACACCAAAACAGTGGCAGGAACCGTCCGATGTACCTCAAGATCGAATTTACCCCATTCTTGATATGCTCCGCTCAAGAATTCAGCGGTCGGGAAAATCCAGTGATCGGCGACGCAGTAGCATGGGGAACACCCGTCCGAGTTTCCACATCCCTCATCGTCCGAGTTTCCACACCCCACAGCATGGAAACTCTAATCCTCATGGGTTCTCGCGACTGCAGGCTGAATCTAAACTATTGAGACAAACGCAAGCCCGCTCCAGTAAGACATTCGAACGCGAACCAGAACCTATTGGAACGTTCCTCGAAAAGACTTAAGGGATATATAGCCTCAACCCTAAACTCAACTGACATCACTCCGGCTCCGATCGATCGATTGTACACCTCTTCTTTTTCATTATTTCGATGCCTCTATCTTTCCTCTATCAAGATGATGCTTCCTCCTCTTTACAGCGGCTACTCCTCTTAACAAAGGCTACTACTCACCACCATGACAGGATCCTCTTGTTTACTCGAAAGCGGAAGCGGCAGCCGTTCGATCGATCGATCGATCGGCCGACGGATCGATTCGGTGGATGACTTCTTTCTTCTTCCACGGAGCGACCATGACACCGGAGCGAACGAACGGAGCGACCATGGTGCTACTACTACAACAAGCGACTACTACTAGAAAGACAAGCGACGCCTCGTCAATGGCAAGGTCTTCCGTTCAACCGATCGATCGATGATTGATGGCTGCTTTCACGGAGCCTCTTTCACGGAGCGACCAACCATGACGCGGAGCGCCTCTACTGTACCAGAAGCGGCGGTGAAGCTTCTGCTAGTAGTGCTACTATAAACTCAACAAGCGGCAGCTTCTCTACTCTGCTTTGAGTGATCAAATGACTTGACTACAAATGTGAAATCAGCGCAATTTTTTGCCTTGTTGAGCCAACAATCTCCTATGAACCTTTGGGATGGGTGCTCCAGCCTTCATGCAAAGCCTCCCAGTCCTCTACTAGACTCTACAGTGCAGATTGAGTGCTGAGAGTGAAGACAGGATCACCTTTCCCATGGAGAAATCCATGGCAGGATGACAACAAATTGGAATCCAAGCCTGACTTTTCCTGGATGCTTCATAGGAAACCTTGGAGATAGCAAATCCTTTTTGAGGGGTGGCTCTGTGAGTGTGTTGGGGAACTACTTCTAGAAAAGGATTTGCTATCTCCATGTATTGGTAAAGCTAATAGCCATTTGGTCAACACTGTTGCCATGGTGATAAAATTCATTTTTTTCCCCTTCAATCTTTTCTTTATGAGAACCAGTCATTTCAATGCAGGATTCGCGAAATGACTCCTTCTGGGTTCCCATTTCCGAAATAAATAAATAACTGTCCAAAACGCTTACATTTTGACACCTGTCAGCGGTAAATAAAGTCATCCTGTATGACCCTAATCATGGTTACCGAAACTGACAATCTCACAAATTGCAAAGCCGTCTCACCATTTGCGAAATTAATTCCGGCACTCCTCAGCTACACACCTCAAGTACATTTCTAAACCTCGTCGCAGGTCATCAACTGCATTCCTGATTTGGATACCCCACATGATGATGCACCACAGCCATCAGCTCATCAATGCCTCTCGAACAAGATTACCCTTAAGGCAACGATGCCTGTCCAAAACCATATTTGGCAAGATTGAAAGCGGCAACTATGAATGGCTTTCAACTGTCCACTCGGTCCCTTGTGACATCCTAGGGATTTGTGGTCTTGCCCCTTCGCCATCTGCATGATGGATGTAGAGGTGCCATCGGCTGCTTGGATTGCAAGTGGTGGAGACCACTTGTCGCCCTGAATTTGTACAGGCTTCCCAGATTTCTCAAATTCATATCATCGTAGGTGATGGTAGGAGCACTTGCTAGGTTCGAGCTTGCCCCCAGAAGACCAAGGCATATCGATAGCTCCACCACTGGGCATCTTTGCCTGCTGCCTTCTGCATCAAGTCTTCAATGGTGGGGATTTCATCGGTGGTGAAGCAATTTGTCCTGCCTGAAATTCGTGTCGTCTACGAACTCAGTCATAAACAATTTCACACTTTTCGAGCCATCAGTGCTTTGCAAAGGTGGCTCCATGGGCGTCGTCTCGGAAGGAATCAAACAGAGTACTGGAGACGGAGAATTTTTAATGCCTGCCAGGACCAGAATCATGCCACGGATGATTGATTGGCAGTGTGTGGCTGTACCTGGTAGTGACTCAAGGTAGTCTTGATTTGGTATTTTGCTTCCTCAAGATTCATACCATTGACTTTGCATCCGTCCACCGGCATTCCCCGCTTCCGCTTCCGTGACATCAACATTGTTGCAATAATCAAAGGAACGTGGACGTATGGAATGATAGCTGATTGGAGGACCAAATTCCAATCGAAAGTCAATCAACAGTTCTAGCAGAAGGTGACTGTCTAGTATTCTTCACCTGTAGCATATTGCTAGACCAAAGTAGAAGAGAAATACCAAACACAGAATCCGACCCCAACGTTACTGTCAAAACGGGATCAGCCTTCCCCTACCTAGATATGGAACTGTTCTGGTCAGACACAGAAGAACTAAACTTCCGCGTCCACATGAAACCGAACCAACAATTAAAATATCTAAGCAGAGGGACAACCCACACAAGCAAACGAATACTTTCTCAAGCGGGAGCCAACTCAAAGGACTCCCGCCACTGATTCTGTCAACCAAGATGATAATAAAGATAAACAACAACAACAAAGACACTATAAGCAACACCATCATTATAAAGCTAACTATCACACTATTACAAGCAAGTTTCCCCTTGGAAGCACTCAAATCGGAGCTCTGGATCGATAGATATCGCACGGAACGTCCTCAGCCACCCATCAGCCACCAACACGTGATTGCGGCCCCGGAAGATCCAGTCATTCCCCTGTAGACCCCGGTACTGATCCTACACAAGAGTTATTATCCAAAATTGCAATCACAACCAACAACAAAATCACAAAAAGCAACAAAGACACCCAAGTCCACTCCACCCGTTCAGACGCTGTTTGCCACTCCAAGAAATAGTCCCCGATC